AGGGCAACCGTACAGTAATGCGCATCGATTTAGCCTTGCCTTGTTTGTTCGTGCATGATGAGTCCCTATAATATGTTGGAGCTGTCCTAGTCCTTTACAGGCCATGACGACAAGCACTAATTATACGCAAAACGAAGCCTGATCACAATCCTACTGTCGCTGTTTCTTCCTTCCCCCTTCTTCCCACGTTCTACGAATTGCCATGTGTGGGTGATGTTCGTGGGTGAGGAGTAGAGATAAATTAATTTTCCGATTCGCTAATGTTGGCTTCTCGTCTATCTTGTTAGTCCACTACCAATCATGATGCAAATCCCACCTCAACCACTACCGACGGCAGCCCTCACGCCGGAGGCCGCACCGGATGTTCAGCGGAAGCAGGAGGAGGAACTGAGAGGTCAGAATGGAGGCTCCGGGAGGAAAGACTTTCCCTTGAAATTTTGCACGGTTTGTGCCAGTAATCAGAATCGGTTTGTTCTCCCTCTTGCTTTTCTCCATCTGTCCGATTCCATGAGGGGGATCCCCGACTTGATGATTCCTGTGGATGAATCCCTATGCCATGTAGAGTGGTGGTTATCTCGCTGTGCATCCAAGACCTCCCTCTTGCCCCCCATGTGCCCTCCCGTGCGCAAAAAAAAGTGGGGGGAGGCGTCAGATTGATCCTAGATCCTCGTACTATGTGCCGATAACCCCAAGCAACATACCCGATGGCAATATCTAGCAATGAACAGAAAATTCCTTAACATGCTCTGATAAACATGCTGAGAAAATATTGTGTGCGAAAACAGTTCCATGGAAGCCCACCTTGTTCTATCTCTCTCACAATACCCTGTAATCTCCTTCGGTACCGGCTCAGCAGTTCGTCTGCCGGGTCCATCAATCGACAAACCAAATATTTACGCCTTCAACTCCACGACCTATGATGAGATGTACAACTCCCTGAAAGAAAAAGATCCAAGACTCTACCATGCAAATGGCCTTTTGGGTATGCTAGATCGTAATCGCAGAATCAAGGGCTGTCCCGAGCGCTGGCAGGACTGGAAAGTTGGTGTTCCGAGGAAGGATGGGGTCGAAGATGGTGTTGTTGACGTGGTGGTTACTTGTGAAGAGCGATGTTGGGATATTGTTGTTGATGGTACCCCCCCCCCCACTTTCCCCCTCAACCGTTACATAAATTAATGCTTTTTCTCCTCCTTTTTGACATAGACTTGACAAATCGCAACTCTCCTCTCAACCGCTTAGTTCACATCATCAACGTCGATATAAAGGACAATCACGAAGAAGCCCTCGTTGGTGGGAAAGGCATTCTGGAACTCGCCAATATGCTATCTGAAGCTGCTAGAGAGGAGCGGGAAAAGGCAGGTCCGAACTTTGTCCGTGAGACAGTCGACGGGAAGGTTCCCGAGGTACTAGCAAAATGGCAAGAAAGGTTTCCCGGGTTACCGGCCTTGTGGACCGTGGGCTATTTCTGATCCAATTTGGGGACTAATGATGGGGCGATAAAATGGGGAGTTTGGGTTTGGGTTTGGGTTTTCTATTTATTTTTTTTCCCCTTCCGGGTTTTTAATGAAATCATGAGATTACATGAGATTAAGATGAAGTTTCAAATATATGATATGTAAGTATGGTTGTTAGCGCTATGTTTACTAGATTGGTTAGTTGCGCTAGCAGGGGAAGGTATGATACGGTACGTTCACGTTCAAGCTCAACATAACGGAATTCCACACTTTCACAGATAGACATTCATTTTTTATTTTATTAATCTATTTGTCAATTATTAACCGTTCAAGCATCAATATCTCCACGCGCTTCCGTGCGCACACATCGCGACATACAGTCGCAGAAAAATTCCACACTAATTCATTCATGCTTCATCCCCTTGAGCAACTTGTGGAAAGCGCTCTTAACACGGCCAAGGAGCCTTACAATTCCTCGTTTTCCCCCCTTCTTCGGATCCTCTACCTCCACCTCCTTTTCGTTGCCCTCAATGAGGGGATCCCTCTTGATAGGATCAGCCCCATCTGTGCCATCGATAGCAAGCGGAGCAGGACTACTACGCCCGGAAACCGGCGTCGAAGGACGTATAAGCGGTGGAATGAAGAGGGAAAATACGTGACGGCCTTCGGGCTGGGGCTGGAGCTGGAGCTGGGGCGGTTGAGGAGCCCTAAGTTCGTCTTCCCAGATGGCGAACGGTGTTGGCACAAAGACTTCTCGGCGGGCGATTGAGCGGTTGCTGGACATCTTAAGGTTTCTAAGGTGTGGTACTAGTGGAGGGTTATTTGGCTGGGGGATCCTTAATTTGGAGAGGACGGTAAAGATAGGAGTGAAAGTGGGGGGATAGCTGGTCGTGTGTATAAGGGAAGTGATGGTGATGTAGTGGTGGATATCGTGTGGAGGGAAATGTCTTCCCGCAAGAAGAATCAAGTTATGGCGTAGGTGTGGGTGATAATTACGAAGGCATAATGGTAGAGTTTTTGTGTAGGGCTGGATGGTGGACGTATTGGATATCATACCCTCATAGAGGAGGTTAATGGGTTTGATCGCAAGAATTGGGTGAAAATTAGGTTGCGGTATGATACCAGTACTCGATCGTTGGGGCCGGGTGTTTTTTGTTTTTTTTGATATTATTGTATCATATTGCAGAGCACACGAAAACCTTGGACTCATCCCCATCAGGATTTCAAACTCTCGTGAGTTCCTTATGATATTATCATACCTCAAACCAACACCTGAAGGCCGTACCCTTGGCGAGATATCACTCCTCCACTCTCTATCCCCCATCAAATCCACCGAGTGACAATTCTATGATTTAGTTACCCTGCCACACAGCCCCGTCTTGGCACATACGTAAGTCAAAACAGCGCCGTATCGAACCAGCTCTTTTTCTTTCCCTTCCATGTTCATCCCCCCTCCATCTACCTAAATCACATATTTTCCTACTCTACCCTACCATCTCCCTGCTATCAGGTTTTTTCTCTCAGCAACCCAAAATACACGCAGTTGATACTGTAACTACCATTGCCAGCAGAAGATTCATCCTTAAACAGCATAAAAAACAAGGGCGAAAAAATCATGCCCGCACCACCTCCACCACCACCCCTACCCAACTTCGGTGGAGGTCCCCCACCCCCTCCACCACCCCCACCGCCAGGGGGAGGCGGGCTTATCGGCCGACCAGCAAAAGGGGGAGATCGGGTATGGTCTCGTTTGTTAAATCTGTTTACAACGTCGGGAAGGATGGGGGGCTGATCTTGATCTGCGAAAATTTGAGCAGGGTGCACTTAACTCGGATATTACGAAGGGGATAAAACTGCGGAAAGCAGTTACAAATGATAGGAGTGCTCCAGCTGTTGCGGGTGCAGTTGGGGGTGGAGGGGGTGGAGGGAGGGTTGCGTCGTTGGGAGCTCCGCCAGTTCCGGGTGCGCCACCAATCCCAAGGGCCAGGGCTGGAAGTGATGGGGAGAGGGCGAGGAGCAATAGTGATGCGGGTGGGGGTAGCGGTGGAGGGGGGGGAGGTTTGGTTACGGCGGCGCCGCAGTTGGGGGGATTGTTTGCGGGTGGGATGCCGAGGCTGAAGAGTCGGTCGGGAGGCGTTGATACCGGAGGTTTGTTTTATGACTCTACCATAGCAGATAGGTAGCAGCTAATAGCTGGGGGTTTTATAGCGTCACGGGATTCTTCATACATTTCAGATTCAGAGAGTACGCCTCCAAGGTCTGCGCCCATTCCTCCACGAATGCCACCGATGCCACCTAGAGTGGGTTTACGACCGACGCCTGCTGCGCCAACCGGATCCGCACCAATAATTCCTTCCCAGGCGTCCCTCCGCAGACCTCCGCCCGCACCGATCAAGCGCCCGGTCTCTTCCATTCCCATCCGCGGGGCTCCCGGCTCCCCCAGCAGCCCGCCTTCAAGGGCCACACCTCCACCCCCGCCTCCATCATCACTAGTACCCTCCCGCCCACTCCCATTACGCAAAACCCCATCACCTACCTCACACACCCAAACCGATTCGCCACCCCCCAGCGCCCCTCCACCTCCACCAATCCCAGGCTCAGCACCTAGAGTCCTTCCCCCTGGCCCACCGCGTAGTAATCCACCCCCGCCACCTCTCCTCCCCGTCAACGGAAGCCCAAACCCAGCGTTAGCCGCCGCACGAAAGGTCTCCGCGACGCTCGGTGCCCACCCACCTGCCCCTCCACCACCCCCCCCGTCGGCAGCGCGACAATCACAGCCACTTCCACAACAGCGAGATTTTATGGACTCGAGCAAGTTCACCCTTACCAAGAAGAAGATGGAAATCAATGACTCGAGATGGAAGTTTAAGCGCGAGGAGGACTTGCCAGAACCGAGGCCTTTTACGGGAGTTAGGAAGGTGTATCGGAGTGGGAGGGGGAGCAGCGTTCCGCTAGATTTTGAGAGTTTGGAGTAGAGAACTGTTTTTTTTTTTTGGGGGGGGGCGAGTGGTTTAGGATTGGGTAAGACTAGATTGGGCGGGTCAAGCTTTGTTGGTTGTTGGTAAGGTCAGGCCGGTTAGTCAGTGTTTCCCTTCTCTCTGCTAGTTTGTCTGTTTGTCTGTCTGTTATTTGTCTACAAACTGTACCTCGGTGTAGGTAGTGGGGTGGAATATCAAACATTTTTACCACTAGCAGGAGTGTTGCCAAGTAGCGCAGTGTTTGTTCCTCCCGATATACATGTTGTGGGGGAACACTGAAATTCGAGTGATAACATATGACCAAATTGGAGCTATACCATCTTAATCAATCCTCGTTAAGTTAGCGTAGATAATTAGCTACCATAATATTATGTATGATGCCCAACTCCGCATTACAACGCATCTGCACAGCCACTTTTTGCCTCCCTCGTACTGGGGTCACGGAACAGAATGGAATAGACTAGGAATAGGAATTTGGTCTTCCTTTTTCCCTTTCTCCGGATATTTCTTTTTTCTGTGTGCGCTGCAGGTGGCGCACCCAAGTATTCGGAACCCCTTCGAAGTCCTGGGGTGGCAGAATGTATGGTGCTTGCTCTCCACCTCTTGCTCCCCGGTGTTCTTACCCCGTGCACCATGTGTATGGAGGGATGTTTGGTCCGCTCATGCCTCTTACGTAGCTGGACTGGAAGAGCATCGGCCACGGCGGCGGTACCCTGCACTTGCGAGGGGGTCCAAACTGGAGTTTCGTGTTGGAAAATGTGATTACTCGTCCGACGTGAAGATTTAATGTCATTATTTCCTCACTGGAAGTTTCCCTCCCATATTTGCACTCGGGTGTTCTACCAGAGACGGAGATAATCACCGGGCTATACTGGTCGTTTGTTCGTTTTGGCGCTCTCATAGGTGAGGCACTGTATATTGGATTGCATTAGGTGATCCAGAAGGATCGAACCCTCCGTTCCCAATCACGCCTCTCCGACAAAGTCACAAAGCATCACTCGCCAAATCCCCTCACCCCACTTTTGAGAGCAACCCGGATGCACAACCCGAATGAAGCTAACCTTGAAGCTTACTCCCGTCATCAACATATTCCCCCACCCCGCCAATAACGTTCCGGTATCACGCCCATCAATGACGTCCGCGGCCGATCATCCCGGGGGGTTCGGGGTAGACAACGGGTGATCCGGTAAGTTTGCATCGGGAAATTGTGTTGTTTTTATTTTTATTTTTATTTTATTTTATTTTCCCAGCTTGGGTCCCGGATTGGTTGGGATTACATGCTGTGTTACGATGCGGGTCGTTGCGGGAAATGTTTTGGACTCTAAATCTGGGTGGGGTGGGAGGGAGATTGGGGTAGGCGGAGCGGGTGATGGATGATAATACGGTATTGTGATTTCTCCTGCTTCCTTTTTTTTTTTTTTTTTTTTTTTTGGTTGAAGGGGCTGTGATGGAATTTGTTTAGGCACTTGGGTTGTTTTGTTTATTAAATTTTGAGGTTCATTTTTGTTTGTTTGGTTGGTTATGGACTTTCGTTGGGTGATTGGAAGGAAGGTATCATAGGTCCTCGTGATGATCTTCCCTGGTTCGGAGGTTCGTGTGCGGTCTCGTTGGGTCGGTACGGTAGTTAATTAGGCTGGAGGACGGGTTTATCATAATAGTATTATTATCATAACTCGTTTATGCCTAACAAATCCCGCTTCAACAGGAATGCGCTATGATACATAAATGGTTTGTTTCATGCCATTCACCCAGCACGTGGTGAGGCGATATTTCTCGGCAAAATGCGAGGTACAGTACAGTACAAGTACTATCCGTTTTATGGGGAGTGATGCCTTTTTTTTTTTCAACTTTATTTCATTGACACCACCACCACCACCAACCACTTCCCGTCCCTCTTCCTCCTTCCCGCAGGGCGTAAAGTACATCGAGTGATGTTTCGTGTATTTGTTTGACTGTTCACAATTTCTTGGCGATGCTGGGAATCCCTTCTGTTTCGAAGGCGGGGAAAAAAAGAGAAGGGAAAAAGAAAGAAAAGAAAGAAAAAGAAAAAGAAAAAAAAAAACTCCAGGGTTCTGTGCAGCAAGGGGGAGGGGGAGGAGGAAAAGCGGCAACTTCACGCGCGCTTATAATACGGTACCGGTACTGTACGGTGATACCTCACCGATCATACGAAATGAGAGATTAACATTTATTGCAACTTTGATACTATTGGAGGAGTTTTGCCTTTTCTCCCTTTCCCTTTCCTGCTCTTCTCGCACACGCACACACACAACAGCCCTCGTGTTACCTCCATTTCTCCAGGTTTGGGTGAGGCTCTCGTTTGCATGCGTGCCTGCATGAGTAATGTGTTTGTATTGCCTTAATATTGGATGGGTTTGTGAGGTTACCGGTAGTTTGAGGATTGTGATAATGGTATGATAGGTAGGTAAGGTATTATTACCCTACAGTGCCGGTAGGCGCGAGTACGAGTGCAAGTACAGTAAGAGTGCTTTGGGCTCGAAGTCGAATCATCTTGATGATGCCATGAACCGAACCGGTTAGGGCCGTCGTCTCAGTTCGTGTTTTCTCTTTTTGGGGATCCTAGAGTTGATCGCCTCACCCCTTTTCTCTTTGTGCTGTGCTGTGCTGTGCTGTGCTCTGTGTAGTTGTGTTTTTAGCTTCAAGGTTTAGTTGATATTACTTGCTTGCCTGCTACCGTATCATACCTGGGGGGATACTTTGAGACTTGAGTCGGTTCAAGTCACGTCGCAAAGGATCTAAGCCGAAATCGGGGGCCGAGTTGCAAGTACCCATACTCGAGTACTCGTACTTGCACAATGCATAAGCACCTGTATCCCTGAAGTATCTGCCTACGAGTACTGTACTCGAGTATCCTTGTCTTCCATTTTCATTTTTCATTCTTTTCCAGAAGGAAGGAAGGGAAAGGAAAAGGCAAACCTCTCGACCCGTGAAATCTTGGCTCATCGGGGACTCCTGATGAGGTTCTGCCATTCATCAACCATACCGGTACCATATTCTCATTTCCCTACCGGTGGTGTTCGTTGTTTTTGTCTCTCTTCTCCCCCTCCTTCTTGTTCTCGGCTCACCCCTGATATACAGGCCCTCTTTTCTATTATTTTCGTGAGAGGCTGAAAAGAGCTCATCTGGAGGGACTACCGTGGCTACATTCTCGCTTCCTATTAGTCACTCATCTACGGTATTCGGGGATTGTGGGAAGGAAGGATACTTTCTTGATTTGTGCGATTAGTTCTTGGTCGCTCTCCCCCTTATTTTCCTTTTCCTTTTCCTTTTCCTTTTCCTTTTCCTTTTCCTTTTCCCTTTCCCTTTCCTTTCCTTTTCCTTTCCTTTTTTTTGCCCTTCGCACGCACCGGGAAAGTGGAAAAGCAGCAGCTCTGCTCCGCTTCGTCGTTTACACTGAGAAAACAACTCTCCGGAGCTTATTCTCTTTCCTCTCCTTCTCCATCCACGAGCTTTCGTGCCACACACACCACCACCCCTTTTCTGGCGGGTGAGGATATTTTAGGGAAAAGCAAATATTGCATTGGCTCGTACACGTCAACGGAAAACGATTTTTTGGAAGGGGGTGAAAAAGAAAAAGTGAAGCCAAGAGGTGTTCATAGGTTGGGGCCAACGACCGCCATAACGAGGACTCGAAACGAATCACACGACTTGGATCATAAGGGGCGCGCGGATAAATATTTGGGGTCAGCTTGGAGAAGAAGTTCTTTTTTTTTTTTTTTTAAAAAAAAAAAGTTTATATATCCTGGGAGGAGGGGTTCCGTTGCAACAAAGCTTTCATCTTAAAAGGACAAACTTGAGAGGATCAGCGTTCGAGTCAAGATCCGGGGTCGAATCTCTTACTTTTGTTAGGGCTTTTGTTTTCCTTTGTTCAACAAGGAGGGGCGAGAATATACTGGGACCAACCTCTTTTCACACGGCCATGAGCATCAACGGTAATATCCCACGCTCGGCGCTTTCACCTGTTTCCGTAGCTGGCAGCGATTGGTCTGGAATATCAGGGTACCAGAAGAGAACCTCTGATCAACAATACGGGGGACCACCACCTCGCAGCGGTTCACTTGCAAGCGGCGAGGGTATGGGGCCTCCGGGACAGCGCCAGAATGTCTCACCACCATCATCGATAGCTCGATCTTCGGATGGAACTGGCCTATACGCTCAAAGTGATGCCTCGTCCCTCAAGGATATTATTCACGACGAGGAAGTCGCCGCTCACCATTCCGCCTTGAGGAAACTTTTACAACCATATCTATCACAGTCCGGCGATTCCCGACCTAATAAGGCCCGCGACAAGCTTCTTCGGCTAAGCGTGGTCCAATTCCGGGAACTTAGTACCGATGTTTACGATGAGCTTCAACGACGGGAAGGGGTGGACGCGAGTTCTGGTCCTAACGACAAATATCCGCCCTACTTGCTACCAAAAGAAAAGTTCCATCCGAAGAGAAACCAGGCTCGGCAGAAGCTCAGCTCGCTCGCTGCCACAAGGTTCCGGGATTTGGCTACGGACGTGTTTTTTGAACTGGAGAAGAGATATCCGAAATATGCTACGGAGCTTACAAGGGAGAGGAGTCCCACGAACAGTGTGGATGGTAGGGGAATGGCGCCTCCGGGGAGACTCGGGAGCCCTGGTCCGGGAAGGATTGGGAGCACTGGCCCTTCGGGAAGGATGGGATCACCGGGTCCTGGTCAGATGCGTGGACCTCCGGGAAGTGCTCCCGGCCCTTACGGACCGGGTCCGAATGGCTTGCCTAGGATGGGGCCAGGTGGGCCTTCTCGGAATGGCCTACCAGGTGGACTAGGACCTCCCGGAATGGAGGGGGGTGGCTCGCCTAATAGAGGAGATGCTCCTAGCTCCTTTGGAAGACCATTGCCCAAGACATTCCAACCCGGCACTGTTATTCCGAATAAGAGTACCATGGTCGAGGACGATGATGACGATGATGATGATGAAGGGGGTGCTTTCGGATTAGAAGACCCAAGCCGTAAACCTAATGGTAATAGAAGCGGACCGGCTAGCCCGGGGGTCCGCAGAGGCAGTGATAGAAGTTTGGGCAGTATGGGCAGTGTGGTTAATGGTGGAAGTAGTGAAGTATGTTTATCCTCACGCATATCACGGGATGTAGGACTAATTTATAATTCTTATTTCTTAGGTTGACAAGAAACTTATCGCCGAGTATCAAGGCAAGGTTGAAATACTTCATGATAAGATTGTAGGACTTGAGGGTAGCTTGGAAGATAGGGATCAGGAAATTGCCAAGCTGAAGGATGAACAGAGGCGGAAAGAGAGTGTGAGTTGTCCTCGGGTACCGAGTGCAGTAGGAAAATTGAGTTTGACGGTGGGATGTAGGGCCACAATCGGGACAGGCAGGAATGGGAGAACCTTAAACGAGATCTCGAGGAGAAACTCACAAATGCCGAAAATCTTAATCAGAATATCCAGAACGAACTTTCGAGCGTAAAGGCTGAAAAATCTGCCAATGAGAGGAGTTTGAAGGATCAGTCGGAGGATTCGCGGCAAACGGTTGGCGGCGCCTCGGATATGAAGTACGAAGATCTGTTGAAGCAACATGGGGAGCTGAAGACGGAATTACGAGAGCAAGAAGAGGTATTTGGTGTTTGGCCAACAAGTGTGTATTGGACTGTGGTGCTGATGGATTTTCATAGGTCACTGAAGAAGTTCGTCGCGAGGCTATGGAGTTCTTGAGTCAGATGAAGTCAATTTCGGAGCGGGCGGATCACTCTTTCGAGCGAGAAGAGAAACTGACTTTGGAAATTGGAAAGCTTCAGGATGAGCTTAAAGAATGGAAGGCTCGATATGCCCGCACTAAGGCTACTCTTAGGAGTCTTAGAACATCCTCCATGGGGCTGGCCTTGCAATCACCAACTTCCCTCATTTCTAAGGAAGGGGGCCTCTCGGATCCTGATGGTCTCGTAAAGGATGTTCACGTTACTCGGTTCCAGATCTCAATTGATGAGCTCCTACGAACCGCTAGAGGTGCCAACTATTCGCAAACGTTGGAGTATGTTAAGGCGGTGGTCATGGCAACTAGGTCGATTACGGAGGATATCGATGAGTCCAAGACACATAATGATGATAGGCTCAAGTTGAAGTCTAGGGTTTCGGCCACCGCAAATAACTTGACCACTGCGGCCAAGAATCATGCAACTGGCGGAGGATTGTCACCTGTATCTTTGGTTGACGCTGCGGCAAGTCATTTGACCGCAAGCATTGTGGAGTTGATCAAGATTGTTAAGATCCGGCCTACGCCACAGGGTGACTTGGAAGATGATGGGGAAGATTTGATCATTTCTCCTGCTTCAGCATATGAAGTGGACCGTGCGGTTAGTGTCGGACTGGTGGCTCAAAAGACGAATGGGGCTGCAAAGGGACAACCGGGTTCTAGACTTAGCGGAGATAGTGTCTATAGTCCTTTGAGTTCTCCAGAGCACTCGCGAGATAGAAGTAGAAACGGGTCTTCGGGGGGAAAGGACCAATGGGGATCCACACTGAGCCCGGCTCGATCCCCAGCTTTTACGGGCAGAACCGTGGGAAGCAACTTCGAGGAGCTTAGGGTGGGTTCTGGCTCCTTTCCCCTTCCACCTTCCTTCACTGCATGGCGCTGATGACTTCTGTATTTAATTTGTAATAGATACTCCTGGAGACTCAGATGGTGGGGATTGTAGAATCGATTCAGTTGCTGCTTACATCAATTAGGGCTGGTGACGACATGCAAACCCTAAGAAAGCATGTGGACAATATCACCCCCGTTGTGTGGAAGGTGCTACAAAGCACGGAGAATTCCATGCAGGAGCCCGGCAATGGAACGTTGATTGGCCGTGAAGGTTGGATTGTGGCGAATTTGAGCAAGTGTCTCCAGAGCATGAGCGAGATGTCAAATGAAGGGGAGCCAATCGACGGCCCAGCAGACAAGGAATTCAGGGGGCGTTTAGCATCCCTGGCATTTGATTTGGTTAGAGAAACCAAGGTTTGCTTTTTCCCACCCTTGATAATTTGTCACTTTTATTTCACATGGGGCTGACGGAGTTACTCAGGAACTCATTCGAACCGTTGAGGATATTAACAGCCAGAGTCGTGGTGGGGCCCAAATGATGAACCAGATCATGAGCGACGATAGCTTACGTTGATGGCAATGATGTCGGAGTGACTACCTTTTTTTATATGATACTATTAGTTTATTACTGGGTTATTTCGTTTCTCGTTGTTTCTTATCTGCACCATCTACGAGGAAGACAATATCCTTGTTTTTTCTTTCCCTTTCCCTATTCATATATTTTCATTTCTATTATGGGCGCCAATAGACAATGATACGGACGGTTGGGGGGAGTGTGAGTACATAAGTTGTAGTGAGGCCTTTTTTCTTCATGTATTATTTCGTGTTGGGCGCTCATTTCTTCGTTTCTTGGAGAGGAGTTTAGGTTTTCTCTTGAAATTGTTTTCCCGTTTCTGTTAGATCTGTTTTAGTATCCTCTTGTTTTATTTTTCTATGCTGTTGAATCAAAAGTACGATATGATACGATGACCGAGCTGTATGTGTCCGAAATTGGTTTTTTCTATTATTGCGATTAGAATTGGCTGAGTTAGGAAGTTGGGTCCATAGGAAGTATTGATATGACCTAAAACAATGCGCCAAGTCCTCTGTCACCTAAAACGCATTAGTTTTTTTTTTTACAACCGGGTAACCGTTGTGGAGCTTTTAGCGAGCAACTCGCGGCCGCAACTCAAAAGTTAGACTCACCACCCTTAGATATTTCGAAAACTCCCCCCCCCATAAAACCTCAAAATGGAGGAATCCCTATCTATCGAAGAAACAAATAAGATCCGTCTCTCCCTCGGTCTCAAGCCGTTAAGAGTCGACACAGATGCCCCCGCCACCTCAGGCAAGCCCGAGGACAGCGTGCCCGACAATAGCGTTGAAGCCCAGGAACGCCGCGCCGTCGACAACTGGAAGAGGCACCAAGATGACATCGACAAAGAAATTGCTCGTAAGGCCCGGATAGAAGGAATAAAGAAGGCGCGCGATGCGGAGAAGCGGTTCGCGAAGCTGGAGGGCAAGGGGTTGGGCGAGGCTGATGAGAACGAGGAGGATACAACGACATGGGTGCGTAAGATGAAGAAGCGGCAGAAGAAGCTTGCGGAGAGGATGGCGAGGGAGATGGAGGAGGAGTTACAGCGTGCCGCGGCCGAGAGGAGTGAGTATACGGCCGAGGACTTGACGGGAGTGAGGGTCGGTCATGATTTGGGTGAATTGGATGGGGAGGGGATGGTTCTTACGTTGAAGGATACTACTATTGAGGAGAATGAGGGTTTGTTTATTTATCTATTTTTTTCCCCTCCCGTCTGCTTTTTATTTTGGGGAGTTGGTTGCTAATTTTGCGGTGGTGGTGGTGGTTGTTTAGAGGAGGGCGACGAATTGATTTCTACGGATCTTGCGGAACGAGAGAGACTCAAGGAACGGCTTGATCTCAAGAAGAAGAAACCGACATATAATGCTTACGAGGATGAGAGTGAAGACGGGGAGAAGCGGATATTGGCTCAGTATGATGAGGAGATTGACGGGAAGAAAAAGAAGAGGTTTGTTCTCGATGGCACTGGGAGCGCTAGCAACGTCGATGCTCATCGTAGGGAAGTCGCGGAAAAGCTCAAATCAATAGCTGTTACTCTAGACCCTATCAGTATGTCCCCCTATAACCTAATCACTACTTCTGTGTTACTAACCATCTTATAGAGTCCGAGGCTTCCTCCGACTATGTAGATCCCGCCACGCTTAAGATCCGCAAGCCGAAAAAGATGAAGGCTCGAGCCACTCGGAAGAGATCCGAGGATGATGATGACACTTTGGCACCTCCTCCCGAAGCTCCGATGGAGGACTCGATGGAGGTTGACTCCGGCTCAGCCCCAGCACAACCAAAGCCCAAGCGAGTATTTGAGGAGACTTCATTCGTGGATGACGATGACTTACAGAGTGCTCTAGCAGCGCAACGCAGGACGGCGCTCAAGAAACGAAAGATGTTAAAACCGGATGACCTTGCTCGTCAGCTTCGTGAGGAGTCTGCTGCCGCCGCTACTCCGGGCGCAGACAGCCCAATAAGAGAAGATGATGGCGAAGGAGAACCAGGTTTAGTGATCGATGAAACCTCCGAATTCGTGGCTACCCTCCGAGCGCCGGTCGTCCCGGAACGAAGGTCCCGTTCCGGCGCGCCCGCTCATTCTCCTCCAGCCACTTCAATGGCAGAGGGAGAGGATGAAGATGAAGATGAAGACGGACCGGAAGAAATGGACGTAGACATCAAACCGGAGATGAAGCCGGATTCCGAAACCGGAGAAATCTCATCGACTGGTCTCGCCCAGGAAACCACCATAACCCATGGCGTCGGTGCAACACTGGCGATGCTCCACCAGCGCGGTCTCCTGACCCGCGACTCGGAATCCGACGTCAAGATTAACCTCCAACGTGACCGGGAGAAGTTTCGCACGGCGAAGCGCCTGCGCGAGTTGGAAGCCGAGGAGAAAGCCAAATCCCAGCGCTTGCGTGACAGACAGAGTGGGAAATTCGACCGCATGAGCGCGAGAGAACGTGAGGAGCACGCAAGATGGGAAAACAAGCAGAGGGATCTGCAAGAAGCGAAGGAGATGGCGGCGAGGTTTAAGGAATACAAGCCCGATGTCAAACTTAGCTACAAGGACGAGTTCGGCCGGGAGATGTCGCAGAAGGAGGTTTGTATATACCATTTCCCCTACTGGCATGATGGAAATGTGAGACTAATTTATTAATTGGGTGGGTGTATATAGGCATTCAAGCACCTCTCCCACCAGTTCCATGGAAAAGGTAGTGGAAAGGCAAAGACGGAGAAGAGGCTCAAGAAGATTGAGGATGAGAAGAAGCGCGAGGCGGCTAGCAGTCTTAATGCTTCGGCTACAGAGAATGCGGTGCAGAGTGCTGCAAAGAAGAGCAAGCAAGCTGGCGTTAGGCTTATGTAATGAGTTTGGAATTCAGGCATGAGATGTCACTCGGGGGTGGTGGTGGGGAAATTTGTTTTCGGAGCGGGAATTTGTCGATGTGGCCTTTTTCTTGCTTGCATAGTGGAAGGGAAGTTGTGGGAGCTGTGTATCACTAGTCAGTAGAGAAGACCTGAGCGCCATTGATTGATCTAGAAGTTGTCGGTTTTATTGGAATTTCTCACTCTTACAAGGGCCGAACACCCACCATCCCCTGCCACAGTCCGGAAGAGCATCGCTGGCAAAGTCAACACGGTTTGGCAGTTCACTTTCGAAAGAAGGAAAGAAAGGAGAAAGTCCAACTCATCCATCATAACGGCCGAGCCGCACTGGTCCTCGCCTATATCGCGGGAGCCATTTTACCGGAAAGAGAAAAAAGGTGAATACCTACTATCACCAAGTCGAGAAAGTCCGTGCCGGCGCACATTTTTGACAGGCTTGTTCCCACTTTGCTCGTCCTGGGTTATCTATCTTGCGACTTGCGTGATGAGCTCCCTCCGTGCTCGGTGTGGGAATGGGACAGTTTCGCGATGTAAAAAGGCGATATAGCCTTCGCAGTACTGAGGTCGGATTTTTTTCTTTCTTTTTCAATTTTTTTTCTTCAAAGCGATGATATGTATTATACTCGGATCTGTTTTGGTATGAAATCATATACACGAGACGAGTGATAGCGGCGGGATTTCTTCGCTGATTGGGGCGGTAACTTTTGTTCGTTCGGATTGAAAGGTTCTTTTGAAACCTCCGATGCCTCGGTCTGGGGAGGACTAGACTATCATACATATGATACACCCCGAGTCGTGCAGTGTACTGGTAGTGCGGTAAACTCCGCTACTTGACCTGGCTACGTATGATAATATCATGGTATGATACTTCCTTCGGCCCCCTCCTCCTGCGTCCGACATTGCAACGGGACCGACGAGCCGTTTGTCCTTCTCCTCCTGGTGGTCTGTCCGTCCATCCATCAAGGGTACCGGGTCAATATTGTGCAATTCGGATTTTTTTTTTATCTCCCTAGCAGGGGGACCTCACCCTCCGCTCCCCCACATACAAGTCGAGATCGATCGTGCGAGCCTATCTGTCTCAAATCGTCGTTTGGATTTGTCTTATGTTGCGTGATATGATACTTATTGTATCATACCGGTTAGGGGGGATGGTAAATAGATAGATCTTCACGCTTCTTACAGCAGGGGCACGGGACTCTGAGGGAAACTTGGCGATTTTTTTTGTTTGCCCTGTTTGAATGGATTTGTTCGGATTGTATGATATTATTATTAATATCGGTATTTGGGAGTGTTGGATGGATGGATGGATGGATGGGCAGCCGGTATTGGGGGGGGGGCGGGGATCTCTAAACACTGAGGATAGCTGGGGTGGGTCGAAATTATACTTCCTGGGAAAGAAAGGTGAGAAAGGGCGTATGGTCGTGAACTCCCTTCTTTTTCTTCTTGAGTTTGTCAATTCAACCGCAATAATGAGGAGTTGTATCATATAAATCACCTCGATCCTTCCGTGTGTCGCCCACGACACATCCGTTTTCCCCCATGCCATGCATATCCCCCACTCCCGCGCCTACTCCCGCGATGACATAGGGAAAACATGTCTGAGGAACTACCTTCTCTGTGGGGAGGGAAACACCACGGCTTTTAAAATGAAAAGAAAGCTCCTACAATAACAATATTGTGGCATGAAATATAGCGATGGGCGATTAGATATTAACGCAATATGACAAGTAGCAGTAGACTACTCGGAAGTTTCCTCAGAAAAAACTAACCGGATAACAGGAAAGGGGTTGGATAAGCTGTTCATGAATATCTGTGTGAGCTTCGAGCATCATATATCGCATAGAGAAAGGCAACGAACAAATAATGAAGACCTACCACTACAGTACCAGTCCACGACATTAGATCCCAGTTGCAAAAACCCGAGCACCCACGTTTTTGTAGTTCCACTGGGTACCGTAGCCAACTCTGTCGGACGGAACGGATACTAACGTGTAAAGTATCCTTTCCTGCCGGGCAGACGGTCACCCCTTCCGTTGCTCACGGTGGAAAATAGCAAATACCATCGCCGCGGACGCTCGGGGGTCTTGAGTAGCAGGCGATACAGATGCCACTGGGAGGAGAGAAAATGAAACAAGGGGATTCATCCCTTCATTCATTCACTCTGTATTTATTATAGAGGAGAGTTTTTTTTCTTCCCCCCCTGCAGGCGTTTTGGTGAGAGTGAGGAGGAGGCGGGTGTTATGGTTCTGGGTGTTTATATATGATATTATGGTACCTCTTGCTTTGTGGTGTGTATGATAAGATTTATGGTAATATTTGCGAGTGTTTTTCTGCTATGCCGGCATGCTTCCTCCTTACTAATTCCACTCCCCCCGCCCCCCCCCAGGCCCTCCTAGGCTAAATGCCGCAACAAGCGATAGTGTACCTCATGCCAGGGATTGCTGGATGCAAAACTCGTAACTTTTTACGACGTTCGAGGAACCCGTCCCTTGTCCGTATTCTTTTTTTTCTGCGTGATATTGCTATGTTGCCCTGGTAAGGTATCACCACCCAGCAGCGCACACCGTGGCCTAAACCTGGTCTACGTACGGTAGCTGGATGGATGATTAAATCTGCTACTGGGATTCACAGTTTTTTTTTGTGGGTATCGTATCATAGACTATTATCATATGTAGGTCTCATGCATCGCGTCTTGGCGCTATGTGCGGATCCGGATTGTTCACGAACGTTCGCATGATGGCAACGGTTGTTTCTTTTCGAGGAAGCGGGTTTGGTATTCACCGTTCGGGCTCAATTATCGCTTACTGTATCGTACGGTTGGGGGGGGGGGATAGTGGAGCTGTGCTGGTTAGGTGGGATCATCTCCTTTCGGATAAACGATTTTTGGACAATACTTGCATAATATGGTGAATGTGACCATAACTTAGCGGGTAAGTTTTTTACTTCATACCGTTTTGGTATGAATTTCTCACTTTTTCTATGATACTACTGTCAACATTACAGTGCAATGCGATACTGCCTTGTAAAATCCAGAACACAGCTTTTAAGCCCTCAGATTCAGTATGAGAGTAAAGGGGACTCGCCGTAATAACTACAAATGAATTCGACCCGATGAATGAAAAATCCAGAGGTAGGTTACAACAATGAGGTGAATGTGAATCGTTGATATGCCGTTGCGACCGCGCTGCACCATCATTGCCCACCCCCCTGTACAAGCCATTTTTCCACCAATTCCTCTATAGCCCGTTCCGTCAAATCCTGCCCTTCCTTCTTCAACTCTTTCTTCGCCTTCTTCCGGAGATTTGACTTTTTCAAGGAAAGCGCTCTCTTTTCCTTATTCTTTTCCACCCATTTCTTTTTGCTCTCCTTCTGCCGCTCCTTTTTTTCGTTTTCTAGCAACATCCCAGGTCAGATTAGACGACTTTCTCCGAAAAGGATGTATATGTATACACACCTGTGAGTCTCCTACTCGCCGATTCCGCTTTCATCTTTTCGTGCATCTCGATATGCGCTTGGGAGGTGGGGAAATATGCGTGTAGAGGACTCAGGTAGTAGCCCAGGTGCTGCCAGAGCGCTTGCTGGGGATTTTGGCTATCGATAATATTAGGATTCCCATCCAGGAAGGAAATGAGGGTGAATCCGTACCGGTGTCTGAAGCTGCGTTGACATTCCTTAACGGGGCAGAGACCTTCCCTGTTGGCGTCGGAGAGGGGACGCTTGCGGGGTCTTCCTCCCTTGGTGTAGCCGAAGGGGGCCTCCTCCTCGGAGGAAGCGGCCGGTTGAGGGGTTGTCATGATGGGTATCTCTGGTGGATGGAGGATGAAGTGGTATGAGGAATAGGAGAAGGAGGAGAGAGAGAGAAACTCGGAGCTCTCTACGCGTCGGCTGAATTTAAGCGATGATTTGATTCACCCCAGACGGCTAGACTTTCTGCTTTGAAGCGATAGTTATATTCATCTGATAATTAGTAAAATCGCTTCCGTCCCGGTGTGGCAAGACTCGCCTTGGTTTGGGGAGGACCCACTCCCTGGAAAACAAACAGGGATAATACTTGGCTGGTTAACATCGGATAACTGTTCCACAACATTTTTGCGCGTTCCTTGTGCGAGGCTGGCGGCAGAAAAAAAGATAGTGAGCAAGGCACAACCATACAGCGTCATAAGATTTTCCAATGAATACATCCACGTCCCCGACCTTCCCCAACCACTGGTCCGGTGAAGCTATCTAAGCAATATCTTTACACATATGTGAAACGATACCCTGGGTTTTACTTTTGCATCCTGCCCTTTACTCGAGTAGCACTCTGCATTGGAGCCGACCGAGGAATTGTTAGGGGGGTTATGCTTGGTACATTTATCTTGGCGCATGGGCATTCAGAGGCTCTTTCTTGTCGGGAAATGGCCTGGCTTGGCCCTTTTTTTTCGGCCTTAACTTTGCGAGTACTCTAGCGATATTGATCACCAAGGTAGACGGCGGTTCTTTGGTAATCTGTGGGCACTTGGGGGAGATATTTGAAAGAATTTTAGACTATACTGTCGGGTTTTCAGGACGTTCGGTGTTGAACGAAGAATGTGAAGCGGCATGTCTTGGGCTGTAGCATTGCCCATTCTATGCACTATTTTTGGCAACAACCATCATACAGGGAGGGCATGGGGAGTTGGTCTGTCGAGCCACCTCCGGTTGGCGCAGTTGGTCTCTTGACAACTCAGTGAACTGGATTCTCTTTTATCAGTTTTTTTTCCCCCCCTTGACCAAATTTAGCCCAGATGGCCGCGGAAAAAGAACACAGCAGCTATGATACACATGGCGATTTCAACGAATGAACCAAACCTACCAAACCTACCAAACCTATGAAACCGGGTATAGTACTAGTATAGTACAGCCGTTGCTACACAGATTTTTTAAATTTGCCCTTTTGTCGCCTCAGTGCCTGTTTGGATTTTCTCCATGGATTTGCCGAACGAAAGAAGCGGGAGATCGGGAGCTTGTTGACGAATACCTGCAGATATATGTGTGCTGGCTGCGTGCATGGCATGGCATATCCCGAAAGACTCCCGAACTGGCCTCGCCGGGCACCCGGGAAGGGAAATGTCCTCACGTCGGTCTCACTTTGATCTGGCCATGGCCCGCCTGCGAGAGCGGGTTGTTGTGGGCTGCAGGCGCGAGGCTAGCTATCATACAAATGGAGCGAATCGCTTCCAACTCGGGATCGTAATGTATGGTATGATACCGTGGGCCATCTGCAGGGTCGCTATACCCTGCCCACAGCCTAACGTCATGCTCTATCTCTCACTCTGCTTGGGGCGGACAACCCGCTGCCTGCAAGAGAGGGCGGCGGGCTTGGGAGAAAGGTAGGAAGAAAGGGAGATATACATGCGGAATACCCTGGATGGGAAAATACTTCTGTGAGCCAACACATACAGGAGGAAATGGCGATACTCTTCGCCGAGGCCCCATCCTGGATCGGGGGTTTCAGTGATTAAAAATTCCGCAAAACGAAAAAAAGAAAAAGAAAGACCTCCAGCTGCGGGAAAGAGTTTAAGGGTTTATAGGGCAATCAGAGTACGGGGATGGCAAAAAGGTGGTTCGCGAGGGCTGACTTGCTACATCTACCATGATACTAGGATGGGGGTCGGACTCTCAACCTTCCTGTTGGTATTACTTATGACTGGTCCTTCGGTCCTTCAGCTACTAAACAAGCAGGCTCGATCAACAATGTGATGCTTTTTCCTAAATTTCTTGGCCTGGTGAGGGATTATTAGTGTCTCTTTTCACTGGCGCCTTATTTCACTTAACTCTAAAGACTACGAGGAGGTCTTCAAATTATCCTTGAACGAGACAAGACATGATCGTGCAAACAACAACTGAGCAGTCAATACCGTAGCCCTACTACTACAACTGCATGTTTGGAAGCGTTCAGTTGGGGTAGGGCCGTGCCCTGCAGTGGCGAAAGCCTAGAATTTCCCCACCTTTGAAGAGATAATGATTAGTGGTATCAGCGTGAAACCAATACTCGAAGGGGTTATCGTGTCTGTAATTGGTCTGGCGGTGGGGCGTTATCTCTACTGAGGGCTTGGAAATGAGCTATAATACAAGAAAACTGCTGACTTTTGCCTTGCCAGTCGTGTACGGCTGATAAATCCCCCGCAAGAGGCTGCGTATTTCTGAGGTCCACCGAGGCTTGCCTTAAATTACACCATCTGGAGATAGTTTAACCGCTCACAATAACGTCAGCACTGCAAGGCTATGGCTGTCAGCGACATTCCTCTAGATATTGGAAAGTTCCGTCTTATCGCAGGTATGTGGATGGTGAGGGGTAATCCTCTGGAACGGTATAATGGTTCTCGGCTTATCTTGTCGTAGAACAGAACTTTCACTGACCGCGACTAGTTGGAAAAGTGGGCAGAGGAGTGTTATATTGTGGGGTCAATAAGGTATAGATGTTAGATTATTAATAAGGTGTATGTAGTGTAGATTAGGTAATCGTAGTACCGATATCTCGTCCGCAATTCAAGCGGCGGTAGGAAACCGCCTTGCGTATGATACTAGAGCCAATCGCCCGGTCCGGCGAGCGCCGGGCAGCGCCAAGGCCACCTATAATATTGAGGTGCTGACTTATAGCGAAACACTCGGGCAAGTTTTACACCAAAAACCGGGCCCTCTTGACCAACCATTTCACTCACATACAAAAGATTTGAAGGTTCCCATTAGGCCGTATCAAACTGGTAGGTATGTAAAGACTAGTTTTTAGCGAGTAATATTGGATATGAAGTTTATGGAATGGAGAACCCCCTGACAACTCAGAGCAAAATTAAATGTTCTGTATATATTCTGTCCGACACGCTTGCGCAATAAAAGTCTCAAGTCGCTTTCAAATCTTACGACGCCGTAGAATGAATAAATAGGAAGCCACAAGTTATCAACTCACGGGCTTTAAACCTTTATTGTGATTCAGAAAAGAAAATGGTTTATCGTGATTACTTAGATTTTCTAGAAACTTGACTGTGCTCACCGAGAATAGCTGTTTTATTTTGTATGTGTGGGGTCACCAACGGCTAGAATTTTTTGTCAACTATTATATCATACCGTCTCGTTATTATACCGTAGTTCTACCTCTGGGGTTTCAATCTATTGGAAAGAATTCACTCAGAGCACAATTATATTACTCTGAGTGTCCGTTCCTCTCGTATTGAATTCGAAGACTCAAGTTCGAATCTTGATCATGGATGAGAAATAATCAGCAGGTGTTGTTCTGGATTCACGAGCGTTGCCGTGGGCGGGTTTGCATCGTATTGCATTACGGCATTTTGTCGGACCCGATGCGATAGATACGATAGGAGGGCGAACGATGAGCACCCCCCCCCCCCATAAAAATAAAATAAAAGGAAGGGAGGAAATAAGAGTCAATCGGTCTGTGAGTCGTGACGGAACAGAAATACTTACACCCATATGGGCTTTTTTTATCCAGTGCCATCAACGATTTACCACCTCTAGGTAACATTGTCACCTATACAAACGTAGTGAAGTCACTAAAGGCATAGGAGAAAAGACAAGTGGCAATTAAATGAGGAAGATGTGAGGAATAATGCGTGGAAAAACAAGCGCCGATGAGCATGGGTTTTTTGGCCTGGTATTGTACACTAGGTATCTGTATTTTTGCGGTGAAGATCGGGATAAGCGGATGGGTTTGAATTGGTTTTTGGGGATGGAGTTGTCAATTGGGGAGAGGTCTGACTGCTTACTATCTTCTTATTTAGTCATAACACGGCTCTGCTCCAACGGCGTCTTCATAAAACTCCCTCGTGTGCTTCGGTAGCGGTACAGAGGAAGAGTGCTGTTTGGCCATGACCATCCGCCAACGAAGGGATTGACGTCTCTTGGATCCGATGGCGGAGATGTGGGAAATAGGGTTCTGTTGGTGTTATGCGGAAGAGAGACGAGAGGCTTCACAGCTGACTCAATGTCAACTGATATATAAGATATCTCGGTTTTTGTCAAATGCTATTATATGAACAATTATATCGAATCTGATTACGAAAAATTCGCCTGATAAAAAAATATCATCATAATATGGGGGGTTCTGCCATCTTCTGATTTTCTTTTTTATTGTTCCTGTCAGGCATCAACATTACCAGCCAGCCATCTGTAAATTTTTTTTATATCTTGGTTTTATTTATAGTTTGATGTAAAGTAAGATATACAGGTTGATTCAGGATTGGTTACCTGATGTAGACCAAAAACCTCCATGAGCACACAGATCCTGCCAGCAAGAAGACAAGCTTTAAGTAAATGTCGTGGCATATATAGTTTGAACCTTTTATTTTCAGTCAAGGGGTCCCAAACCATAATCTGAAAATTTATCACTTGATATGAAGGCTAGTTAAGGGGGTAAGAAGAAACCTAGGTAGGCAGTACACTACTCCAGTGAGAAGCAACAGGTATGGTAGGACATTAGAACAAAATCTATTAAGACAAATGAGAGACTAGGATGAGGTATAAAAGTGATACTATAGAGATGAGAAAGATGCAGTGGGGAGTAAGCTAAGTAGTAGAGTACCAGCTGAAGAAGGAGAGGTATCAGACAAGCTGGCATAGTGTTAGTTATGGAGCCTTCAGTGCACTGAAAACAGCAGGCCCCCAGCCCCATTCTCCAACCTGCCCTACTGAATCTCCTTGTGTGGTGCCTAATTTTCAGCATTCAATACCCTGTTTCCTTCTCTGGTCTTCATCCTGCCCATAGCCTAAACAGGCTCCAATCAAATGTTAGTATGATAGTAAGAAATAGTTGCCTTTG